TGCTTATTATCTACTCTTTGACTTATATTCTCATCCAGTAACTTTGTTATTCTTCACGCACATATTTTGTAATAGATGGTCGGTTATTTTGGTTACGACGCTTATACTTATCATTTTCGAGTCCTGATCTGATGGTATCATTATTAACAATACTATCTAGATGTAGGAATGCGCTGAATCGTTCTGGAAGTACTATTCTTAATGGTTCCACTTTTTTCTCCTAGTGGTTGGTCTTAGTGGTCGTGGTTACTGAGTCACGTGGGCGATTTATTGATGTGAATTCATCTGCTTCTACTAAGGTGTCTTCTGCTGAGCAGATGGCTTTTTGACATGCTGGAGGCATGTATTTTCGTCCGTTTTAGGCTTCAAACCAAACAGCTTCAACATTTCTGGAGATACACCTAAATCTTTTCGTGTTAAACGCTTGGATTGCACGAAAGGCATTGTTGTTTCCAATTCTGCTTTGTTTATTGGTTGTGTTGTTCTGTTTTCGGTTCTGCTTTTCAGTCGAGGCGAGTGATTGAGACCACCCATTGTATATAATCATAACTGTGAATGCCATATAAGTTCTTCTTCCGTCTTTCATGAACCATTCTGAAAAATAATAAACCTACACTTATTTCAAAAACCGCAACACACGCATGTTACGAACCATCACTCAATAAACATAGAGGTTGAAGAATTATTCATACAACAGTAATCAGAATATAGGAAGTGTACTTATTACAATTCATAAATGAAGAATTCATCTTAACATTTCCATATTGATGATGCAGTAGATACTTTGAGAATTGTTCTTAAATGACAATATACGACTTGCATGAATAATAAAACAGATGACTAATTGAAGATTGGACTTAAACGGCTATTTACAACTAAAAACATTACTTTTTCTGATGCACGATTTCTTAGACATGGTGCAAAATCTTTAATACCGGTATTTTTCGAGGTGAAAGCTTTTGGAGTTCCAAACTTTTCTATAAAATATGTATAAATCAAATGTAGCAGATTTAAAAATTATTGAGCTGAACAAAAAGCCGGGCAGTTAACCAATATTATTATACGTTATTAAAAAAGCTTTAAAAACATACTG